GGGAAATGATCATGGGGCAGAGACATTTCAGTGTGATCATGAAGTGGTGAAACAAAGCGAGTAGAGCGCATCTTGCCCTGTCGGTTGTAGACAGGCGTGCCATCTTCGTACACACCAGACACGAGTTCGGAGATATTAGGGAGGTCGGGGAGAAGAAATGACTGATGGGTCATGGTATCACCAATGGTGTTGGTGTTGGCTGGGTTGGCACTGGACTTGCGAGGAGTCCCTGAAGTGGACTTGCGCAGTTCCTTCGCGTAAGCATCACGCGAAGCTCGCTCAACAGCATCCGCAATCTCTTGGGAGGCGTTGGCATTTCCGAAACGCGTCGAGCGCGTCTTTGTTGAAACTGGGGCTGGACGTTCGTCTCCCAAGAAAGAGCCGTCGTAGTTGTCACGTACTTTTGCGTGCATATCGGAGAAGGTTCGGCGCTGGTCGCGCTGGGCCTTTGATACCTGCGGGCTCATGTTTTCCCTCTGTGCCTGGGTCGCTCGCCGCACTTGAGCGTTCTTTCGGAGATTTTCACTAACGGCTCGTCGCTGTGGGCGCGTAGCGGGCTTTTGTGGTGTTGGGTATTCAACCCGAATTGCGGGTGAAGATGAACGGACACTGTTTTCGAAGCTCATCACAGAGCTTCGCGATTCGTCGCGTCCCGTCTTGCCAGCACCGCGTCCCACTTCCACGGACATTTCGAGGTCGCTCACAGTGTGCTCATCCTGTTCTTCTTCGGAGGTCTGTATTTGGGAGAAATCAGGGAAGGCTTGGTCGAGGGTTGAAGTGTGGATGTCGTAGTCGAGCTCGGGTTCGTCGACACGACGTGTTGATGTGCCCATGATTTCGTTTTCCAAATTGGTCAGAGAAAATGAGTCTTCATGATCAAAGTCTCTATTAATTGGAGGCATCTCGAGCGTGATGAAGTTGGTGTAAAATGGAGAGGCTGGTTTGTTTGGGGGCAGAGTCGGAATGTTTGGGTCTGGCGCGTCTCGGCAACAGTCCCACTCCTGATTGGCCCACATCCAACTACAGAATCTCACCTCGTACTTCGACTTCTTATGTTGTACTCTGTTCTACTCTGCGTTTTATTATGCTCATCAATTGCTAAAATCTCAGATCAGATCAAAACATATCTGTCTTTCTGGGATTTTTCCCGTAGCACATACCATATCTTGAGCCCCGCTGCTCCTATATGTACCTGCAGCCACGGAAATATAACTGTAGCAACCAAAATTTAAGCATGCGTAATTATCATTCGGGCTCTCCATATTAGTTGCTAGTCCTTATAAGCCTTTGTTGTTGGTCAAATCCCACAGTATATTGCATATGCATGCAAAAAGGTCTAATGGTATTCGTTCACCACCAGCTTATCCAAAAATCGTAAATTTAAATACATATTAGACTTAATAAAATGAACTGAATACGTTCTATCACAGATATGGCACAGTTGAAATTCTCTCGAGATGTCATTGAGAATATTGTCACGCTCGCAATTCCAATATATATTTGCGATTAGGGATGACTTTTCAGCAGACTGGCAAGTACCAACCATATATGTATTCCTACTATTCAGCAAAACTCCTTCGGCAATAAACCTTCAGACTTAGATGTTTCAAAGTTAATCTCTAGGGATAAGTTTGCCCCAGCAAGTTCACCTTATAAACGCTCGGTTGACCACCTCATTAGCGATCTCGGGAAAATTCATGACTAAGTAATGAAATGATACAACATGCCATAATCCCGGACTCAATTGCAGTCTGGATGCCTATGTCCGCCTTTTAAGTAAAGGCCAGAGTTATGAGAATTACAGTACATGTATATTCCGCCAGCGTCAGTCTTTTGGTGTTCCGTGCTTTCCCGATGTTGGTTCGCCTACCATGTCAATTACCTCACCAGGGTGTGGGACAAGCAGAGACAGGTGGTGCTAAAAAATAAGTCATAGTTGAAGAAATGCCTGTGTCGATGGAATACACTGTTCTTAGAATGTGTGGATGCCCTGATCTTCCAAAAAGAAGGACCAACAGCTTGCATCTCTGAACCTCATGGAGGCACTGAGATTCTCAACCTGGGTTTCTTCGGCCTTGTCAGGGCTAATATCCTGAATGGCACAGAGACACGCAACTTCGCACAACTAACGCTTGACATCCCATCTAAAGTCCGGATCAAAGAAAGGTAACTAGATCCTTATACCCTGCGTTCTCTTGTATATACACCTACCTAATATAATTTATGAACCCACATCAAGTCCTCCCCTCAACCCCAGTAGCCCCTGAATAAATTAGTTCAAGAACTGACTTCAAAAGAGACTAATACCTACAAAAGCGAGTAAGACATCATGAAGGCATAGCAAGTAGTCATGCCAAGTTAAACATTTAAGATTAGTATTAGGACGATAGTAAATGATTCTTATTCCAACTCCATGGATGTATCGCATCTGATTTGTACATCAAAGAATTGCAAAAAAAAAAAAAAAAAATTATGGTATGAGTAGGCGGTGGAACAAGAGCTTATTACAGCCTAAGTTCGGCAGAGAATAGGAATGTGTCGAATTGTGGAAACAGCGGTAAGCAACGTCGAATGGGATGATGATATACATGCAGAGTCTATGCATAAAGACCTAATGTATGACACAAGGCAATAAATCAGAAAAAGGAAACCTCAATGATTCCTTCAGCATGCATATATTGGCCTAGTAGAAGCCAAGTGGGTATACAAATATAAGGACCTTGTGGAGGGCGCCGTTAGAGGTACATAGAGTGACCCATAGCCTCATAGTGAAACACACTAAAGCCAAGTACACTCAAGTATCTATCAAGTCACGAGTAGGGCCTGCACCACGTGTTGTCGGCTTCATACACCCGCTGACCAATCACAAGGCAGGAACCACTCACGAGCACAACAACCAGGGTTACCGTGAATTCCTTGACAGGTCAGGTCGCATTGAAGAATGGCCTGACTCCCACTTACATCTTCTTCGGTTTCGCTCCGGGTTCATCAGTACAGATGTGAGTGGCTTGGTTACTTGGACTCAACCCTTGTGACATCATCTGTAGAAGGTCGAACCCGATCAAATGGGGTACTACAGTCCCCGCGGAGAGGAGGAGAGCCTCCTCGGACGCCGACGAGATCATGGTTCTAAGCAGCAACGATCCCAAAAATGGTCGGTAATGACCATGGCTGCTCTGTTGGGCATGCTGTTCCTGTCGGCTCTGTATTTCGTGCCGGGACCTGAGTACGAACCCTTGCATTCCGTAGCAGAGATGTCCGGAGCGCAGCCTGACCTGCCGACTTCTGCCGCTCTTTCTAGGTCGATGAGAACGTCGCGAAGTGGTGAAGCCTGCAATACTGTCAACGGTGGGTATCAATGCAACCCTGAGATCTCGCACCTTTGGGGTCAGTATTCGCCTTATTTCTCTCTTGCGGAGGAATCTGCTATCTCGGATGAGGTACCGGATGACTGTCGCATCACCTTTGTCCAGGTGCTCTCCCGTCATGGTGCTCGGTACCCGACGGCATCGAAGAGTGCGAAGTATGAAGCTCTCATCGATAAGATCCAAGCGAATGCTACGGCTTTCAAGGGCAAGATGAAATTCCTCCGCTCGTACAACTACACCCTTGGAAGCGATGATCTGACGCCGTTTGGCGAGCGTCAGATGCTGGGATCGGGATTGAAGTTCTACCAGCGCTATGCGGAATTGACCAGACAAGCTGTGCCCTTCATTCGTTCTTCCGATTCATCGCGGGTCGTGGAATCAGGAAACAAGTTCATCAAGGGCTTCCAACAGGCAAAGTCAAAAGATCAAGAAGCCAACCACCGACAGCCAGCCCCAAAAATCAGCGTCGTAATCTCCGAGGAGCCCGGCTTCAACAACAGTCTAAACCACAATACTTGCACAGATCTCGAGAACAGCGAGCTGGGCGACGGAGCTTCCGACGAGTTCACATCCATCTTCACTCCAGCAATCCGCACACGTCTCGAAGCCAACATCCCAGGCGTCGAACTCTCCAACACAGAGGTAGTGTACCTAATGGACATGTGTCCCTTCGACACAGTCTCCCAGACAACCAACGGAACAAAAAGCTCCCCATTCTGCGACATCTTCACAGAAGAAGAATGGACCCAATACAACTACCTCCAATCACTAGGCAAATACTATAGCTACGGAGCAGGCAACCCCCTGGGCCCAGCCCAAGGCATCGGCTTCTCAAACGAGCTAATCGCCCGTCTAACACGTTCCCCCGTCAACGACGACACAAGCACAAACCACACCCTCGACGCACCAGGTGCAGCAACTTTCCCACTGAATTACACTATGTACGCAGACTTCACGCATGACAACGGGATGATCCCCATCTTCTTTGCGTTGGGATTGTATAATGGCACCGCTACGCTCCCACGCTCGCATGTTCAGTCTCCTGCAAAGGCTGATGGATACTCTGCTGCTTGGACTGTGCCATTCGCTGCGCGCACGTACATCGAGATGATGCAGTGTCATTCGGATCCGAATCCCGAGCCATTCGTGCGGGTTCTTGTCAACGATCGTGTTGTGCCATTGCATGGGTGTGATGTGGATGAGCTTGGGCGTTGTCGTCGGGGGGATTTTGTGAAAGGGTTGACTTTTGCGCGCTCGGGTGGGAATTGGGACCAGTGCTTTGTTTAGTAGCATTTTTGATTTTCTGTTGAAAATACCCATTGGTGGAGCATTGCTCTTTCCGTTTCAGGCTTGTGTTTCAAATATTGTTACGACTTGATGCCCACAAAATGTACTATTGCATGCCTGTCCGTTTCTGTTAGATTATTCTTATTTGCATCATTAGCCAATTCAACCTGAAACAAAATAACATCCGTGAAACAATATAATTGTAACCAGATATGACTAGAAAGGCTCTAACGCATGCAAGTCACCATAAAAGTAATTCAAACAGCCGCCAACACCCAAATAAAACAAAGCTCCCTCTCATCTTTTACCCATATCGTAAACTTATCCCTCCTAACAAAGTACCAACTACATACTCCACCCATGCACTCTCCCATTCCCATTCCTCCTAGCCCTCAACGACCCAGCCAACACCCAAGCCTCCCAAAGCGGCATCTGCTCATGCAAAACATGAACCCCATCATCTCCCAAATCCTCCACCCCCAATGCCCGAACCCTCTCAACAGAAACCCGCGCAAAAGCCCCCATCTTCCCGCACACCAAATCAGGCCCCCCATCAGGCCCTAACCCTAACCCCAGCGGCGTATACGTAGCAGGCGACAAAACAACACTAGGCTCTTCCTCCGTCCCTGCCGCAACAGTCAACGAAGAGGGAACATGAACCTGGACAGGAGCAGGATAATCATAATCATCAAAGACCTCAACTCCATTCGAAACAGCCACCAAATCGAAATAGGCCGCGTAGTCAATTTCCCGCAGGTCCAGGCGGTCTAATTGGTCCATTTCTTCGCGGAGAACGGATAGTATATCGCGCCAACGACCACCCGGTCTGAGATAGACGCCTCCGAGCCTGAAATCGCGGAGTTGGTATCTATGCCTCCGAGCCAGGTTGATTATTTCTTGGGCGTTTAGACGCCAACCCTGGATACTTAGTTTGCGGAGGGTTTTCCAGCGGATATTGTGAAACAAGGCCTCGAGATCAAGGTCGAGCGGTGTTTTGCTTACGAAGCCGATGTGGATTGCGATGAGGTTTTTGGCAGCTATGAAGAAACGGTGGAAGACACCCGACAGGTTGGCCATTGTGGGCGTGATGTTATCTGTGTTTGAGTGGAAGTTTATATCGAGGCTTGTGAGGCGGGTCCCCATTGCCGCTAGGGTTGTTGAGGGCGCGCGGAGGAGTTGGAGGGTTGCTTCTGGGCTGATCTGTGGTGCTGTGAAGCGGATGGAGCTGCATTTTGAGTTTAGGAGGGCGATTCCTAGGTTTGTTACTGCGCGTGTGCAGGCTGGTTCCCAGTCTAGGCGGATTCCTGTTTGGGAATAGTGGTGGTCGCGGATGAAGTCGGCTAGGCGTTCGTCTCGGTGGTCTTGGAGTCTTAGGAGTTTTATTTCTTGGAGAGAGGTAAAGGCGGCGATCGCGTGCTGGAGTTGGATTTTGTCGTAGTTTGTTTCGGTTAGGTTTGTTTGTTCTTGTAGTCGTCGGCTGTGTAGTTGGGATAGGGCGTTGTTCTCTGTTCCCAGTGTTCGTAGTATTCGGGCCCATCCTGTTGTTTTCGTTAGTTTATTTCTCGATGGAGTTTGGATTTGAAGAGCTGGTACCGCTTCCTTGATAAAAGGGTCGCACCATGTACGTGAGAGTCTTTACATAGCAGGCCAGCTGCATTTCTAACAGTTCCCCCAGGCGCCGGAAGCCATGTTCGGAGAATCGCAGGATGAAACGGGAAAACTTATAAGGGGTGCCGATTCGCATGAAGCGCTTGCAGACCAGACGAAAGCGATCGAGGTCGGATGCTTCCCCGTATTCAATGGCATTCCCAGAGCCATTGGTGTAGAATGAATCGTTTACGGCTCTAGGTGCTGGCTCGAGGAGAAAAAGCAGTATTTCGCTCAATAGCTCGTCGGCAAGATCATGAACGTGACGTGGCTGATCCATGATCGGCGCGCAAGGCCGCCGAAGCATCGGCTTGAGCAATTGGCAGCAACATGGAAATATGGCCAGTTTGGGGGTGAAGTCGAAGCTGAGTCTCCCGGGGAGAGGCCACAGATGGAGGAAGAGAGGGGAGGTTGGGCATATAAAAAACAAAAACAATATTACTTCACACTAGTAGTACAGTTGACTTGTCTCACCATGAGAGCTCTCATCCTATGCCTGGCGACCGGGATGTCCCAGGGCCCTTATTTAGCGCCCTTTTTCGGCAAGAATTTCGGAATTTGCACTTCATTGGTGATCATTGCACCCAGGAATCACATGATTGATTGACTCTGCGGCCAGCCAGCGCGAACCTGCAGGTTGTTGCATTCACGGAGAGCGAGTCAAATGGTGGAGGTCGGTGCAAACCCCGCCTGGAACCCGTCACATCATGCAGAGTGACGGGCCATGCGTATGCGATTGGGGAATAAATGGCCGAAACCAGAATGAACTAATGTACTTCAAATTATCTACTTCTCATACCTTGGACCGGTGAGCCCGCCGCCGCCTGATATCTGTGCTGCTTATTTTTGACTCGAAACTCTCAGTATCGGTGGCTTCTCCAGATTGGAGTACATCCACTTCAAACACCGCAAGGGCCTTCCACCCTTTCTTTGCACGCTCATCATTGATCAGGGCCCCTCCTGATCGGGTCTCCTTGGACACCACAATCGCACCGAGGTTCTCCTCCGTGATTGTGGGCCCAAACATCTCGGAGATTTCCACAAACTTGAATGCCAAGTTGGGTTGTATCCTCGTGAGAACATTCTTGAGGGGAGTCTGCCCGTTAGGGTCCGGCGAGAATCCACGTTCAATCTGCAGTGACTTCTCTCCAGGCGAGAAATCCATAATGGCTCTAAGGAACGAGGCAGTACTCTGCCAACGCTCCTCCCAGCTCTCGAGGACTTCGGCGTACTTTTTCTTGGTCAACAGTGCATCCCCTGTGACTCCGATGGTCAGGCGTCCTTCCCGGCCCGGCTCCAATGCCAATGCAACTGCTGTAAGAAGAAGCTTGTGACCAACATGGAGGTGATCAAATGTGCCACCCACGACCACAGAATAGTACGGAGTGGAGGCTTGGTCGTTAGGACTTAACAGGGGGTCAGCAGTCATCCAGTCAGGATGGCTGGTGATGGCTTGCAGGCTTGCCGCTCTGCCGTCTTTGGCCTGGGCACCAACATGGCTGATAAAAGAGTCAGCCACGTTTTTGCCGGCAGTGTTTCCTAGATAATAGACATGGTCCCAACGGCGGTCGCAATCTGCAAGTGATTGCAGGTCCAGAATGGGCCCGAAAGGAGTGCGTTCAGCCGGTTTAGTCGCCTGATCAACAAATACCACCCGGGTATCAATGCCACCTGGAGAGTCCAGCTCGATATTTCGTGTTGCACAGACGGCACCAATCAGGGTATAGACGCTGCTCAAGTAATGTTGGAGTTGCGCAAATACTTTGGCCCGAGGTTGACAGCTCGAGAGTAGACCGGGGATGGCCAGAGCAATGTCGAGTATAGCTGTGTCATTGGACTCATTCAACTTATCGGAGAGCTTAGTGTAAACATCCGCCAAAGATGGTTCAAATGCATCTTTGACTGGGTCAAAAGAAAAGGCAGAAGGCGGGGGGAGAAGTAGAAGAGCCGAGGGAGGGTTGGGATCAGCCATGATGCAACGAAACAATTACTGGCCAGGCTAAAACAACATGGAGAAGACAGAAAAGACAGAAAAGCACAGCAGACCCAGAATCATAAACAGCTTGAAGTTTTGAAGCTGAAGCTGAAGCTGAAGAAGCTCAAGAAGTGATTCTCTGGGGTTACCCGCCCAGCTGAGTCAGCCCAGTCTCCCACTCTCCACTCCTCGACTCCTTGAGATGCTTCGAGATGCCATTGTGAGCCCAACTGATTAGCTGGAATGATCCCAGATTGCCACGGTCCTCTTTGGTTGGAGCTCTCTCGCAGCCCCTCGCGCCTCGTCTCCCCGTCTGGAGCCTACCCCCAACCTCTCTGATCGCAAGGTGGAGCTCATTCTTGAACTAAGATCCATCGCACCTTTCCTTCATAGACGCCTTTGCCATTCACATCATGTCGAACTCCGCCCAGCCTTATGACTCGCATCGGCGATCAACCGTCTTCAGTCGCCAGCCCGAGGAGCTTCACATACCATCCACGGCGCTAAGCAATCCGAACCTATCCCGCCAATCCTCCTCGCATGACTACCCAGCGCCCGACGGAGGTGCCCGACTTCCCGCGATCAATGTCCAATCAAGTCCGCAGTATGGAGGTGATGGAAATAGCAGCAGCACTGCGCTCCCCGGAGCCTTGCAGCCAGGAAATCAGAACCGTCCAGCTGCGGTATCGATAAACACCGCTCCATCGGTCCTCCCTACCATGCCCCATTCCTCGACGCAGCCGACGAACCATCGCGCAAGCATGGTCAACTCTCATGGACATTCGCGATCTAGCCCCGCTGGGTTTGACCACTCGATGTACAAGCAACACGGTGCTCCCGAAGGCTCCAAATATCCCTCCTCTCCTGGAGCGTTCCCACCCCATACACCGCAAGGCTCGAAGTACTCTCCTCTCGGTCTGGCCGACATTAGACCCCCTGGCGAGCACCTTCTGAGCGAGGCGCTTATGAGCCCTGGAATATCATCGGTGCCTTACAATGGAGGAGACAACCAGGTCCCGACCAACAGCAATTATGTTGCGCCGTGGCCTATATACGCGGTCGATTGGTGCAAGTGGCCGATTACAGGAAGCTCAGGCTTTGGTGGAAAATTGGCCTTGGGCAGCTATTTAGAAGACAACCACAATTATGTTTGTAGATCTCTCCGTGAAGGAATATCCTGGCGCTAACCAATTGCTAGATCCAAATCATCGATTCACACTGGACGCAACCAGATCCAGACACCCCAGATGCCGCTGCAGGAGAGATCAAATTGGAATACGTCAAAACAGCCGAGGCGACTCATTCTTATCCGGTCACCCGCATTCTCTGGGAGCCTCCATCGTCTCAGAAACAATCGACTGATCTGCTCGCCACGTCAGGAGACCACCTCCGTCTATGGTCTCTACCGAATTCGCAGCCCCTACAAAGCTCGAACTCGATCACTCGTCCCTCGAGCCAGCGGGACGCCGCCACATCTAAGCTGTCACCATTGGCATTGCTGTCAAATTCCAAGTCCCCCGAACACACTGCCCCCATCACATCTCTTGACTGGAACACCATCTCTCCCAGTCTGATCATCACTTCCAGCATTGACACGACTTGCACCATCTGGGACATCCCAACATTGACCGCCAAGACACAGTTGATTGCTCATGACAAGGAGGTTTATGACGTTCGATTCTGTGCCAACAGTGTCGATGTCTTCGTCAGCTGTGGTGCTGATGGCAGTGTGCGCATGTTCGACTTGCGAAGCCTTGAACACAGTACTATCATTTACGAGCCGACCGATAAGAACGAGAAGCGTAAGTATTCGTCTCAATTGTCTATGCTTATTACTGACAGTTACTTCAGCAGTTGTGAGCCCTGGTAACTCCAGTCCTCCCGGCCAGTCGCAGAACGGCCTCTACCCGCCACCTCTTTTGAGAATCGCAGGTACGTAACAAATCCAACGTACGAACTATCCCCAGCTTACACAGTGGTAGCATCTCCCCATGACGCCCACCTCCTGGCAACATTCTCCCAAGACTCCAGTGTCGTGCGAGTCCTCGATGTCCGCCAACCAGGCCAAGCCCTCCTAGAACTGAAGGGCCACTCCGCAGCCCTGAACTGCGTGGAATGGTCCCCAAGCCGCCGCGGCATCCTAGCATCCGGCGGTGACGACAGCATGGTGCTCCTCTGGGACCTGATCAACCAACACAACGCCGCACCAGTGCCCTCACCAAACCCCCACACCCAGGGAGCACCAGCCGCAACATCAGAGCGCGGTCCCGCAGCCGTCTGGCAAAGCGAATACGAAGTCTCCAACATAAGCTGGTCGCCCCAAGGCGGACCAAACCACACCGGCCTTCCACGGGAATGGCTGGGAGTCTGCGGCGGACGGGGAATCACCGGTGTTGCGTTATAAGGATCGGATTCTCAAAAAGGCGAGAAGTGAGAAGGGATTGACGTTGATTTTTCCATGCAGTCATCTATGAATCTCGCAACAGTCTGCTTTTCTTGCATTAGATTTGTTTTTTACGCTTATCTCTTGTTTGTGATGTTTGATTTGGTTGTGCCTTTCGCCCCCTCTGATACTCTTCATCTTTAACCTCATGTGTTTGTTTCTCTTTCCTCGCTATTGACTGTACTTCCGCCTTTTTTTTGCATAGGTCGAGCGAGAACATGCGTGACTTTGTCTCCTTTTTTTGAATGGGGTTTGACGGTGACCATACTTTTGACTTGTTTTGGCACGAGTGAATGAATGAATGAACTATACATTGGATTTTACTCATATTTGGGTTAGTGACTTGCTTTTCGTAGACTAGGAAGTGGTGTAGAAGTTGCGTATTGGTCGATAGTGTAGAGATGGCCAACCCGTTCGAAATAAGCCGATTTTGTTGCTTGAACAGGCCACAGAAGATGTTACAGCAATGATTGGATGGATTTGGTTTAGGTCTTTATTCAGTCCGCAAGTCTAAAAACAGAAGAAGCCACAGGAGTGAAAACTCGTGTATAAAAAAGCACAAAGGCTCGCCTCGCCCAGCGAGCAGGTATCATGGTATAGAAACAACAGGACAGAGAACTCCCCCGCTAAACACAAACAATCTAAGATATCCAATCTCATACTGAATCCCAAAAGCATTCATTCCCTTTGAGGCATTGACAAGCTCGGAGGACCTTGAGCAGGACCCTTAGAGATGACGCGGTCTTCCAGCGAACGAGCGAACTTGACACTGGGAATATCAACGAGACGCCAGAATATATCACCCATCCAGATAGCGATGGGCAGGCAGATGAGCCAGCCGAGGAGGAACCCGAGGCAGTACTGGAAGTCCGTTTCCTTGCCGGTGTAGCTCCAGATACTGGGCATGATGGAGTAGCCCAGACAATGGAGGATGGGGCCGTGGACGACATAGAATGCGAAGGAGATCTTGCCGAGGTATTGGGAAAAGGGGTTTGTGAATAATTTCTGGATGTCTGGGGAGTGATTGATAGAAAAGACGATGAGGACTGCACCGATGGTTTGGGCAAAACGGTGTGGTTCCGGGTAGGTCTTCGGAGTGACATGCCACAGCCACATGTAGAAGGGAGTCCATTTGAACCCGATGTTGGGACAGGAGCCGAAGTATAGACCGACTATGAAAATGGTGATCCATAACCAACGGCGGGAGACATTGATGGTCACTTTGCTACCGGTGTTGAGACGGATGGTCGTTTTCTCTTCTTCTGTTGTATTTCGTTTGGGTTGTTCCCAGGTGCCGTTGATGAGATCTACCTCTGCCATCAACATGCCAAAGAGGAAGAGGACAATTTCCCAGCGGCCATAGCGCATGCAGAACCATATCAGAGCAGAGACTACTGTCATGCGCACAGGCGCCACCAAGCGTGATGTTCCCAGAATGACAATGAAAAGGATGAGCGATGAACGGAACTCGAGGGGAATTGTCCATAGGTGAGGATTGTAGTAGTTGTAATAGAGGTTGTAGTCGAATGGGTTCATCAATGTTGCTAATGTAAGCCACAAGTCGTCGCTTTGCTCCGTGAATGATTTGAAAACAATCGGGTGTTGTTCATTGGTGCCGAGAATAGTGTGGCCCTCCCTGATAACGCCGTGGGAGTAATTGTACAAACCGAGTCGGACAGCCACAAAGACGCATAATATCCCAACAATCGCGGGTATATAGAGGCGGAAGACTCGACGGAAAGTCCCCGACGCTAGCGTTGTGAATGTTTGGTCAAAAGACCTATTCCGAATCGTCTTTAGAGGTTTGTACGAGAGAACGTAGCCGGAGAGGACGAAGAAAATGGCCACCATGATATGACCAGAGATCAGCATATGAAAAATGGGCAGTTGGTGAATCCCAAAGTTCTCCCCACCAAATCCCCATCCCACGGCAACTTTCCATGTGTATGTGAAGAGAAAATGGAAGTTGAAGACCAACAGACAGGCCCAGCCGCGCAGACCGTCCAGCGCGGCAATGGCATGGAGCTTCGCAGGTGGAGGTGCTTCACCACCCACCCAATGCTGGAGGAAGCTTGGAGTCAACGCGACTGTCAGCTTGTGCCATGTGTTCTCCAAAGAAGCTAGCCAGTCGTCCTGCGACATGCTCGGGGCTAATCTTTCGGGGTGTGCAAGGATGTTCGACGGGTGAAACTGGGAGAAACCGTTCCAGCGCGATGTAACGCCTGCATCGTTTGAAATTGTAGCCGACTCGAGGTCCTTCAAGGGGATATCGGAGGCCGAAGTCCTGGCCCGGATCTCGGGGTTGGATGCCATTGCCTTCAAGTTCAGGGCGATCGTAACAAATGTCCGGTGCGGCGAAAGCCTCCAATTGCGTGCGCTAATAGGTCGAGGGGAACATCGAGGCCTATGGTTTGGTGTACTGGCCAAAGCGACAGAAAGGAACCGGTGATTGCCTCGAAACCGGGTGTGGCGCAGTTGGATTGTGGGGTGGTGCCGGCCGAGGGGCGTTGGATACGTCAGCGGAAAGAGTCCCCGGGCCTCTGATTATCTGAAGTCGGAGGTTCGAAGGGAGAGTGAAGAAAGAAGAAATCCAGGGGAGATTAAGGGGAGTACGTGAGGTATGACGAGGCAAAACGGCCAAGCCGCCGATCGGCAGCCGTTTTCGTCGAGCTTGGTCTCGAGGTATTAGCGGCTCTTTTCAGGCGTTATATATTTAGTTTAGCAATTTCAGCAATATAGTAATTGAATAGTTATCAAAAGTATATAATAAGTAGCCACTACTACGCTATACATTCCGTGTACACAGTATGTACGGATTGACATAACTTATGTCCACTTCGAGTATACAAATTACGTGTCAACCGGGTTTATTGATGCTTGTACTGCTTTCTGGCTCTACTTTGGCTTCTATTTTTCGCCTGTATATTATGACGGAAAGCAGGATACATGTATCTGCTAGCAGCTCTCCCACTTGTCCGATATGGTGGAAGTGGCGGAGTGAAGCATTCTCGGGCAAGGAAGGTGGTTATTGAAGGCTCTGGGCATGTGTTGCCGCTGGAAATGATTGCAAAGACAGCTTCTGCTATTCGCCCTTGGGTTGCTCAAGCAGTGAACAGTGGCAGGAAGATCATGCGTGCGCTGCGCAGAAATGGACCAATCGGTCTGAGGAGGAGAGACTGAGAGCTTCGGCTGGATGGGTGACTCTATTAGAGGACCTTTTGAAGCCCGATGAGCAGACCAGGAGTTCGAGGCTTTAAACATGTTATTTCGACTATACAATGGACTGCACCCCAGAATTTAATCCGAATGTTTCGATTTTGTTGATTGATTGTGGCTGCGTGCTGATATGAGCCGATGATGTGCGTTCTCTAGAAGATCGTCCAGTCATCACTCATCGCACCTATATCGAGATCCATTGCCCAATCGGCAATATCGAAGGTGTCGAAATTTTCAAGGTCAGTGGTATTAATGTCAGGTATGCGGTAAAGATTTCATCTCCGGTGGCGTTTATCGAGCCTGACTCCGGTAAAGAGTCGACGGGCATTGCAGAATTAGGGATTGGGAAGCTCTCCAAGATGTAGTTAAGTTTAAGTGAGATGATTTTCGAGGCCTTCGAGCAAACTACATGGTTGGTATCCCTGGGATTGGGGAAGTTTTTCGAGTTGAGACACGAGAACAGACAGATTTCGAATAAGGTTGGAAGTCATGATCCCCGGAGGAAGGACCGCCGTCATTCTTAACGGATCTTGGATAACGGTCTCCAATGTAGTCAATAGAATGACAGCAGAACATGTCCTTTGTTCTCGCTCAGGCCCTTGGAAACGAGTTTGATGATCTTGTTTTGAGTCGCTTGAACCGGAAGCGCGCCGACCCGAATCTTCGCGACAAGTTTGCAGCTCGGTTAGTATTGATGTACTTCAACTCTTTGACTTCGTAGGTTTGGCCACATCTCTCCAGGCCCAAAACGAGTTTCAACGTTGCTCTCGCAACCTCACAATCTCGCAAGCGGCCGAAAATCGAAAGTACAAGCCTCTCTGAAGTGTTAACTTAGATATTGAAGCAAACAGCTTTACTTCATTAGCGTAGGGTGAAGGGCACAAGAACACCCCTTGGCATGAGGTCTGTTTCAAGATATAGTTCTGGAATAGGATTAGCGTGCTATGGCGACACCAACTGAATTGGGCATAGCCTGGGCTGAGTAATCCCATATCACGTGATCCTCGAACAATCCCACCTGGCCTTTTCTAACACCTTTGGATGAGGACATTTGGACAGTTTGATGCGTAGGATTGTTGGAGGATGATTGCCCGAAATATTTTGCACAATTTACAGACCTGAACGGAGATCATTTCTAGCATTAGTGGTTTCATGATATTAAGCTATCCGAATGCATCATGCTTCATAAGACCTCTAGTTTTCCACACTTGGCAGCTTTGCTGGACATTTAGAGCTCCAACGTAGAACTATACAAGCACCTACAGAAATCTTCAAGCTTCAACTTGACCTGCTCAAACACGCGCAGTAGAGCTTCCTATAGCCAATTCCCTAAAGCGGCGATGATCCTCTCTCCCTGATTCGCGCGATTCCGCAGCTCGAGAACTTCTCCCTTCCTCGTTGTTCATCCACGCTCATTGTCCCTCCCTGCTTCCCGACATCTTGCGAGGTCTGAATGTCGCGAACGCCTGTCGCGTGTGATTTTCGATAATAGTGCTAGTGCGGTGATCCCGAAGTGGGTGCTGTCACGATGGATTTGCGCACGATCATGAACAGCGACGCCAGCGCTTCCAATCCTCCACCCCCCAACACCTCGACCAGCTCGCCCATATCCGCCCAAGCCCAAGCCCCCCAAAAGCGCACAAAGAAATCACCTTCTTACTCAGAATATTCTGCCCACCCGCCCCAACATCCATTGCAACCTTCGCACGCTTCCCCAGACCAGACCTCGCCTTACACAACCGCGCAATCGCCATATCAGCAATATCACGGCCCAGGGGTAAACACAGCAGTGCAGGCTCAGCGCGGTCAAAGTCCCACACACATCTTGACTCCCTACGGTTCTGCAACGCGTGATCAATTTGGCGCGTCGGGATACGGAACACACCCTCAACACCCCAGTGGCCCGTTAGCCTCACCTTATACACCACAGCCCTTGAGCGCAGGGCCACAGCAGCCGGATCAGCAGTCATATTTTGCCCAACAACGCTCTCACTCGCTGCAATCGGTTGTCACCAACCCCCGGCCCCCAACCGACCCCTTCCGTCCTAGAGACAGCCCGCCCGCTGCATCGGAATCTGTCTCATCACAGCGCTTTTCACCTTCCGCCCATCGATCCGTTCCCGGCACTCCCCTCGGTCCTCCTCCTACCTTTGCCTCCCGCCAGTCGCCATCGACTGCGCGCCCGCCATCCTCCGGTCACGGCTCCTCGCGCAACCCCCTATCCAGTCCGAGAGCAGCGCACGAATTTCAAGCACGAGACCCCATTCAAACGCAGTCACCTGGGACTCAGAGACACTTATCAGTGCACAGCTCGCGCCCGTCTGAGCCGACCCCTCATCCTCCTTCACTCGGGTTCAAGCGAGAGCCAATTGAGAGCGCTAGTCCTCAATCCAACTCCCGTCCCAACAGTATTGCTGGCATTTCAGAACCCGCAGCAAGTGGTCTAGCGCGCTCATCTGAAGATAGAAAGCTGGTCGATAGTCCCACAGCACCAAAACCCATCTCAGCCGGATCGGATTTATTTACCTCCCCTACTGCACCGGGCAGCCAGGTCAATAGTTCACCCTCAGGTCCTCGCGAAGGTGTGCATCCTTTGAAGATGGAAATCGACAACCCGCCTCATGTGGAATCTCAACAGCCCAGACAAAAGAGAAGGAGATATAATGAGCCTCCAATCTACGCTCAGAGATCGGCTCGCACCAGAGGCAAATGTCCGCTCATTCCTAATCCCCGCCCTCCAATTCCGAAGCATGCCCGTCAAACACAACAAGAGTCTTGGGCAGCTCGCAGACGTTCCTCCTCAACAATGGCCGCCACACCTTCTGCGCTGGTCACCCGAGCGCCTACCGTGGCTTCACCGAGTACAAACGGGCCAACGCCTGTGCAGCCCCCGCCATCAAGTATCTCGCAGTCAGCAGGTTCACTGGGACCTTGGGAGCCATCTATCACCGGTTTTATCCCACATGAGGAAGTCACAAAGACGCTTTGCGATTTCTTGTTCAAACATGTGGTGTTGAGAACCGACGTAAATGCAGGACCCGCAGGCTCGGCAGCTGCTGGCCAAGGTGCAATCATTGAGGTTGAGGCGAAACTGGGTCATATCATCGACATGGACAGCAGAGACAGGATCAACCTTCCCATTCTAACCGAGAGCGTGATCAACCGGGAGAGCGCCCGGTTCCGGACATCGTTTGAGAGTACAATGACTGTCGTAAGTTCATTTCCAGCCGGTCCTCAAGCATGGACAGCATAGGAACTTGATCGCTAACCATGAATTATAGGAACAACACCGCGCGATGAACAACTTCCTCAACGAGACCGTCAAAGCGTCAATGCCACAACAAAACTCGACCCGAATCCCGCTCTCCTATACACACAAGAGAGAGCGTGATACCTTTCATGAGGTTCAAGCATCTGATCTACCCCCAATCATCCGTCAAAATTTGAACCCTCGGCACAAGCCCAAAGTCCGGGTTACCACCGACCAACGCACAGGGGAAGTCCTCGCCAAAATTGTCAAATGCCGAGTTGCCGACATAGATGTGTGCAGCCCACGCACCACAGTGGATTGGCGCGTCAGTGTCAACCTCGAAATGGAATACCCCGGCGATGTTAGCACCCTCCCACTGGCAGATGCAGCAGGACGAGGCGAGCGCATCAAAGATCGAATGAGCTACAGCCATTTGGCATATCAGGTGGACCTGACTCAGGTAGCCAAATCCGAGGTAAGTGCACCAAAAGTTCCTATGTTACCCCGAAAACATGAAAACAGTCTTCTGACCACCAATAGCAACAACCGGGCAAGAATGAGTTTGAGCATGAGCTCGAGGTTGAAGTCTCTGCCGCTGAAATCCGTCGCCAGGGTCAACTTGCCATGGCAGGCGACCCAAAGAACCAGTATGAGGACCTTATCAAGGGGTTTGTGGACAACATCCGCCTGTTGGCTCGAGCTGTGCCACCTTGACGAGGTTGCTTGTATTTTGTAATATCTATCTTCATCAAGTCTTCCCTTCTGGGAATTTGCATTTTGTTCTTTTTCTTTTCTTCTACTGCAGATATGGTTTTTGCATTTGTCACTGGGTAAAAAGCACGCACTACATTAGACAAGGTGTGTGGGTTTCTCTATGTTCGTATATTCTCCGGAGTTATCACCCCTGATACGATCCTACTCCAATTGATTACACTTGATCGCCTACTTAGGCTCCATTCGTTGTCATTCTTTCTCAGCAATCGACCTACTGTATAGACAATTCAAGAGTAGATATACAAAATCATCAGACTGGGCATACTTGACAGGACTCTCACACCGAACTTGACGTTTAATGCATACTATCTGCCGATTTAAGCTACACAACCACCAGGCCCATCAGAACTTCCGTCTATTAACAAGCGCATCAGCAGCAGCAACCCAATGCATCCAAACCTCACCATCCCCAAGTCGTACCACCCTCTCCATCCTCGTATACTCCCTAATATCTTCATCTTCAACTTCACTCTTAACACCCATCCGACTGTCAGGCCCCCAAACCATCCACTTGCGCCCACCCTGAGCCATCCAAGGCTCAACCCCATTCGCAAACCGAATCCAAGCAGCAGCAAACTCCCTCGCCATCACACTCTCCCCCTCATTCATTTCATTATTCAAATTTCCAAAAAGGTAAAGCAACTCATGAGCGTGATACGCAGTCCCCTCAAAAAGATTCTTAATCCGAGATCGCTGATCGAAATGGTACAGGAATAAATTCTCTTCCAGCACCCGTTGACGCATGCATTCCTGCGCCAGGACATAGTTGGGAACTTTGAAAATAGCATCGCCACACATATGTTCCACGCGTTCTAGCAGTGTGTCGTGGGCTAGGCCCTCGGTGATACCATACGCAGATAGGATCTCATCGGTGTACGAGTCGTCCTTGATATGAGTTGTCATGACATGTCTGATAGATGCATAGCTCTCTTCAACAAGGTTGATATGGAAGATTACACCTTCGTGGTATGTATCTCCAATCATATACCCCTTCAACCAAGGCGGCGGAGTATGGATCTGACGCGGGTCAAAGCCCGGTCGATAGAACCAATCGTCCAGACATGGATTCCCCGTTCCAGATGGCACACCCTGAATGGATGGTGTTGCATTGGCAAGATCCTGCTGCGGGATAGCACGTAACTGATCCAGTGCATCTAGACCCGCAGGATCAATTTGGAAATGACGACAGACATCCTCGAAGAAACGATCATGTTGTTCCATCGTGAATGCAGGAATAGCAGGCGAGAGGCCGGACATGCACACGGCACGGTGGAATACCGGTGGCCTTGCAGCGAGTAGCTGGTTGCTGATTGAGATGCCGCCTGCTGATTCTCCCACTGCTGTGACATTGTGAATATCACCTCCTAGGAGCCCGATGTACTTCTGTACCCAGTCAAATGCGACCTGCTGATCAGTGAATCCGAAATTGCCACTGCCTGCATATCCATCGTGTTTCAATTCACGGGCAATGGTCTGACCGGCGAGGAAGCCGCCAATGCCGACGCGGTAATTGAAGTTTACACAAATAATCGGTGACCCGACGGTTATACTATGTGAAACAAGATTGACCGCGTCGAAAATGGGTAAATTTGCACCTCCGTATAGTAGTGATCCGCCGTGAACGTAGACCAACACGGGAAGCAGTTTATCGTTTGGCCTCGGTGCATGTGGAATCACGATGTTCATGACCAGACCGGACAGTTCGTCCACGGTCTGCGAGACCGGGAAGTGTGCAGCCGGTGGGACGGGGACGAGATCGTCGGCATCATCACCTTCGATTATGGGGCTTGGGCAATCATTCCTGCATGTTAAGGATCGGTCAGCAGAGACTCAATTTTGGGGATTTTCGTGCTAATACCCTAGTTTGGTGCCATCGTGGTGTCCATTTTCCCATGTTGTCTTGAGAATTGATCTTGTCCAGCGTTTTGAAAGATGTGCATAGGGAATCCCGCAGAATTGTTGTACGCCATTGGCGAATTGGAGACCTTCCACTGTTCCCAGACCGGGGATGGAGACATTGCATTTGGATGTGGGCGGTTGGAACGACATTGAAGAAAACAGCAAACAGAGATGTTGAAAGTCGAAACACCAGAACGCAACTGAAGACATCCAAGTCTCAAGATTAAGACAATTGATAACCGTTAGATATCTGTCCCAATCGGGCAGTCGGACGCGGCTGTCAATATAGCCGCAATCTCCACAGTTCCCCCGCATACAATTAAAACCTGGGCGTCTCCCCATCCCCGAGCTCTCCAGCTCTCTCTCAATCTGGCATGTCGACCCGCTCATACCAGGGCTGCTGGACATGTAAGCGACGGCGTCGCCGCTGCGATAACGCGCGCCCTACTTGTCAGAACTGTGCTGAGCGCGGGGTCGTGTGCGAGGGCTACGAGGTTCGGCTGCGCTGGGGCAGTGGCATTGCGTCGCGCGGCTATTTTACTGGCGCTGATAAGCCTGTCAAGGGTTCTACGCCGAGCAGACCGAGGGGTCGGCAGAGGGATTTGAGTCGGGAGAGGAAGAAGCGGGAGACGGAGGGACTGGGGATTTCTTCTGGTCAGTTATGGCTTCGCAATTGATGAGTTTGTTCTTTGGTGTTGATTGCTGGGTAGGATCCGATGGGAATCGGGATTTGGAAGGCAGTCCAACAAATGACGAGCAGGTCGTTGAAGATGAGGTTCTTTTTAACAAATGTGAGTGTTGTTGATGGTAACGAAGGAAAATATCTGCTCTACTGACAGTAAGCAGTTATGAATGATGGCATCAATGCCCTACATTCGACGACGGCAAGAGACAGTATGTTGCACGACCGTCTTCCGCAACTATGTCAAGAATCCAGCGCACTGTATCCTATCTGCATTGCATTCCAACTTGCATTGACAAGCTTCGCCAGGCCGCGCTTCTGCGAGTACTTCGACACAGCCCTAGGAACATTTCGATCAGAACTGGCACGTAGCACAACCCTTTCTGACGGGACGTTGACCTCTGGGTTGCTGCTGTGTAGCATTGGCGTGCGTGACCCCAGATTCCTTCGTGAGACATTGTGTTATGGTTCTGACACCCTTTCTAGTTGATGCATGGCTTGCCTTGGACTATGCATCTAGAAGGCATGCACAATATTCTGCAAAGCCACGGCTTAAACGATATACCTCGGCCATCTACGCCAACGCATTTCAGGATTCATCTACTGGAGGTCATGGGAGTCATGGATTTGGCTTGCTTTTCCATTGGTCGCCAAAGCCCGCGTATAGGCATCTGGCGTCGCTATTGCCAACCTGCTGCTCCTAGGTATGGCATTGAGCCTGTGAGTGGTATCCCGCGCACTTTATTAGACATCTTCGCGGGAATAGGGGCAGAGGCTACGGAGCAGACGTTCTGGGACTGGCCGGGTGAGCCGGGCAGTTTTCTACAATGCTATCTCTGGGAGGCACATCAGTTAGCTGGTATTTTGGCTCTTCGCAGAGAAACGAGGGCTTCTCTTCCTAGCCAGAGCGAGACTAGCACCTCGGCATGGCGACAGCCCGCAAGGTGCCCGGCAGATACAACGGTGCTTGTTACACGAATCATGGCTTGCCTCGATGCCATGCGTCTCGCATTTATTGAGCGTCCAACGGAAGATGCCTTCATCAAGAACGCGACCATTTTTCCTATGTTTGTGGCTGGATTGGAAGTCAGTGTGTTATGTCGCAAACCAGAATGGCAGCAGGCTATCCGCAAGGAGTTTTCACAATCACATCAATGTCAAATTCTTCTGGGTCTGTTGGAGGAGCTATGGGGAAAGGGGGATCCCGCTATTGATATAGATGAACTGGCTCGATCAAAGGGACTTGAAATGGGCTTGTTATAATGGCCTTTTACGGATGTGGATATGGAGAACATATGCTACCTTTACTACATAACCTAACCAGATACCCAAGACTATATGATAACAATTGTTCAATCCGGAGCGAAACCAATGTTCACTTCGCTTACCCCGTTGCCGCGTACTCTTGAGTGGCTGTACATGCTACTTTATACAGCTTGTCCCAGGCTCTGACCTTGTATCATTCTTCTAACTCCCCTTCTTCCCCGGATGAACCATTACCCAGTGCTTGAACCCCTGATCACCTTCACCATCCCTATGACTCCCATCCTCGAACATCTCGACCACTTCGGCCACTTCAAATCCGAAACTCTCATAAAACCCAATATTCTCCTCCCGAGTACATTCCAGATATACAGGCTCGTTTTGCATATGTTCCAAGGCCCACCTCATCACACCCCCACCGAGACCGCGTGATTGCAAGGAGGGATGCACAGCTATTACCTCGAGATACCACAGTTTTTGCTTTGGGAACGTTGCCTCTAACAACTTCACACTTTCGTCATGCTTCTCCATGAGTACCTGCACTCGCTGGAGGACAACACATTAGCTTCAAGAATAAATTATGCAAAGCGATATCGGATATTTGCTTTACCTTCTCTCTCACACCACTATCGTGCGCGGGAGCCAGACGATCCAAAAACCACAATTTGCAAGCAAGCCATATGCGCGGTAGGGACCATGATGCTCGCCCGGGAGGTGGAAATAAGAAAACAACAGCGCCGGCATCCTGTCTGCTAGAATTGATGCCCCCGTCTTCCATCGAGATTTTCGGTTCTTTTTCTGGCAGTGCGGTCACAGGCGCTGTAGGAGTACATGTTGATACCTTACTTCGTGCTCTCTGGGGAAATTTATCTGCCATTTGTCTGACATCACCAGATCTGAATACCTCGCCTTCAAACATTATCCGTTGGATCCGCCGGTACTGCCAACTCCCCGAGCTGGTATCTTGCTGTGCCCATGGGGTAGCATTCGGGCGCAGCCAGCGGATCAAGGGATCTGAAGAGAACGCATGATTGACTGTTCGTGCGATGGCGGGTATGGAGCTTTCTGTACGATGGTTCATGTATTAGTATCCGGTGCAACCTGTCTTGATCTAGAGGAAGTTCTTACCCTTGTGAACAGGAAAGAGGTCAACCTTGACCATCGATTTAGCAGACATGGTTCCGATACTGCAAGGTGATAGTGCGAAGGCGGTTGACAGATTCGTGAATATAAGACAAACGCATTGATATTAAGATATTTAGAGATATCCTGAAGTTGGAAAGTGCTGGCGAGGTTACGAAGCAGGAAAATTAATCAGAGATTTAATTGCCTGATATTGGGATCTAAACCAGCTTCCCCAGATATGAGTTCTAATGAGGCTTGATAGGCGACATTCGTTAAGGATGGAGAACTAAGTAGTGTCCACCTGCCGCTTATGGTCAAGTTTCATCTAGTCAATGCGGTATGCCGTGCCGATGCAATCTATACACCGATGGATCGGTCTGATTCAATTACCGGAAGTGGTTTCGTTCCAGGATTGGCTTACGGGTATTGAGCAAGATACTGTTTGGTATTTGCTGTAGATAGAGATGCATGAAGGCTTTGTGTCATAGTGGATTCTAGTTCCAACGCGTTCTTTTACACGTATTTTGTAATTTATAGAGCTTCTGGAGACCTTTGACTAACCAAAAACATTCACACTTACAGTGCAGCTGATTTCCACTTTAAGATCCTTGCTATGTCTTAGTCGTCGAAGCCCTCGGCAGTTGAGCATTTCGTCAACTCCGAACCAACCTTGTCCACGATATCCCGACGAACACAATATCCAAGAAACTATCAAGTAATAACATCAATCTCCTTCCTCCAATCTTGCGGGGTAGACAATTCGCTTCGCCACAATATCCGATAAATGAGTCTAATTACACGCCATCCCCCATTCGGCAAGTCGACGCACCGGAGAACATGCAGGCTACCGATATCAACGAAGCCAACGTCAATCCAAACCTGCAGTCCACTCACGTCCCTCTTCTCCGCATTTCTGTCACAGGTTCCGGGTGGCTTGACATGCTTCGAGAGAGACACATTATGGCTTATCATCCAGCCTGAACTCGCGTATCTGTACCGCGGGGGTAGAGATATCATGTGTATATCGTGTGCAGACACTGGTCGCGTCCCAGATTGGACGGAAATTTGGGTATATATCGTGGGTTTGACCACCTCGTCGCTACTTAGAAGGATTTCGGTTCACGAAGATCTCACTTTATCAGGCGACTTGACTTTTCCTTTTCAACCTCTTCTGTCCTAGGGAAATTTCTCAGCAAAAAGTATCTTCTACCTGTGCCTTCTATGCTATATCCAATATTCGGAAGAACATAGTTTGGCGACGAGGTTCTACGACAATTCATACCTCTTCCGCCCTATACCCATTCAGATACTACTTCGACCTTGTATCTAGGCCTCATTTTCTTTTCCTCCACATATCCCGCAGAAGTCAATATTCGTTGGCTTCTCCTAATCTAACCAAGCGATGGTGGACCTACATCAAGTGTCCTCTTTCGAGGATGAGCCCGACCTCGCTCCTGGAACCTTCAAATTGATTCGAGGTAATTGAACACTAGCCTAACTTGAGATAAACCTTTACTTATAGGCGTGCTATATCTAGACGATGAATCGGATGAGCACGGCCAACGGGTCGTCATGCTTGACCCAATCCCGTCAAACGATCCCAACGAGCCCTTGGTGAGCTTATGGATACCCATTTAATGAATTCTGGGCTGATATTAAGATATCCAGAACTGGAGCACTATGCGAAAGTCGGTCAATTTTACTATAGTTCTTGCCATGACAATCATCATCTTCACAGCGTGAGTTGCAAAATGCAACCCTATAAATACAGGCAACTGACACTCCCTTTTCATCAGGCTATCCATCCAAGCAATATTCTGGCAGCAGATGGTCGTGGATCTCGAGGTGACATACACCGAGCTGAATCGAGCTATGTCAGTCAATTTTGTCGGCCTGGCCACCGGCTGTATCTTTTTCATCCCTTTCGCAAAGAAGTACGGTCGACGACCAGTCTACATTGTCTCTACCGCTTTGATGTTGGCCACATCTTTTTGGGCATCGAAGATGCATAGCCTGACGGAGTTGTACTTGATGAACCTGCTCCAAGGCTTGGCCGGTGCCACGAATGAATCCATCGCTGAAATTACTGTGAGTGGAATATCTCTGTCCACCCTGTTACTAGGAGACCGGCTAACGTCGCACAGATTGCCGACTTGTTCTTTGTCCACCATCGGGGGACAATGAACGGTCTGTATATGACCTGTGTCATGATTGGTGTAAGTTTCTATTCCTCGAAATATCATATATGCAAAAGTCGTCTTCTCTCACACTGTCCATAACAGAGTTTCTTGACTCCGATGGCAGCCGGTGCCCAAGCAACATCGCAAGGATGGCGGATGTCCTATCAGACCATGGGCATCTTCAATGTCGTACTTTTCCTCTGTTTCTGCTTCCTGTATGAGGAAACCAAATATGTTCCTCTATTCACTGGACGAACCAGTAATACCGAGGAAGAGGATGAAGAAACCGAAGTATATTCACAACATAAGAAGAAACAACAAGACAAAGGAGACACCACAACAGCTGCCCAGAAAATCAACTCAGCTACAGAACCCAGCACCGGTCACCATCACCTCGACCTAACAATTCCACGCAACTCATGGAAAAAGCGACTGGCATTAGCGACACCCACCCCGGAGCCGATTTGGCCTCATTTCTACCGCCCATTCTGTGTGCTTATCTTCCCAGCCGTTGCATTTGCCGCCCTCCAATATGCAGCCGGTGTGGTCTGGCTTACCGTCCTGTCTAATGTCCTTTCACTCACATTTCCGTTGCCGCCATACAGTTTCTCACCCGAACAAATTGGCTTCACCAGTGCCGGTCCACTCATCGGCAACGTGCTCGGTGCGATATATGGCGGTGTACTAGGCGACAAGTCTATTCTTTACTATTCAAGGAAGAATAAAGGGTACTATGAGCCCGAGATGCGTCTTTATATCCTGCATCTTCCGGCTCTTGTTATGGCGGGTGGGCTGATCATGTTCGGTGTCACCATCTCCCGGGTAAGCCTATACACCCCATTCGACGGCCATTGAGCATCGTATTCAGCATCGTTGCTAATATATTCAATTTGAACCATAGGGCATGCACTGGATCTATCCCAACGTGGCCGGTGGCCTCTTCGGATTTGGACTCGGTAGTATCAGTGACGCGGCACTCGTCCTCGTAATGGACAGTTACCGAGATGTTAGTACACTCTCCTTCCAAAAGTTCCCATTCCTTAAAGTCTTCTCCGTACTTATGATCTTATCTACCCAGATAACCGGCGAAGCCTTCACAGCCGTAGCATTCATGCGTAATGCAGTCAGCATCGGAATCCCTTTCGCTATAACACCCTGGATCCAACGCAACGGTCTCCAGAATATGTTCGTGGCATGTGGCTTTATCAGCTTCGGTGTTACACTAACCATAATTCCCATGGTTATTTGGGGCAAAGCCGCCCGTCGCGCGCTTGCGAGACGGTATCGCAGCATTGTCGAGGAACATGGGCATGTGGGTCCACAATGATGGCGTTTTGGGGCGACGGTAAGTCAATTTGGATGATTATCATGGAGATTTGTAGGTATTTTGGGTACTATCGGATTTGGGCTTTTGGGATCTTGGGTTTTTACTGGATTATTTAATCTATGTTTGTGCACCGCCCGGGATTGTGTGTGTTAGACGTGCCTGTGTGTTTTGTGTCCTTATACGTCATTTAGTCTATGGTAAGAAGAATTCATTGGAGCCCAGAAGCTTTAAACCTTATATACATCGAGATTATGGCTATTCTGAACGTGTATGCCATGCCGGTGAATAAACACCCTGTAAACGAGGGCTGATTCACTGTAATGGCTCTCTATACCCAACGCTGAATTCTAATGAAATACAAACAACGGTGAAAGGAAATACCCAATATGCTTTCTGTTTAAAGGATTCTGACATCATTGTATAACATTTTCTGCTGCAACTGAAAATGTGAAGCCATAGAAGCTACCGATTAAAAGGATAATTCCCCGGTCAATGGCATTCAATCTCGGAAGCCGGCACAGGTCTCGGGTCGGGGTATAAGCCAAGCCTCCATCCTTTGGTCATAACGCGAAAACTGACTTCGGGACGTGGGATGCCGCTGTCGCAAAGGACGGAGAAGACCGTGATTTTTGCTCTTTTCGGGTATTCCATTTGCCTGTACCCGAGCTGCATACATTTTCGGGCCGTAAAATGACGATCACCAGAGGGTACAATGCTATGATAATGATCATCACTGTGAATACTATATGCGCCTATATACACCGGATTTTGTCCGCCGGGGTAGGGCTTTCCTGTCTGGACTGCCGCGATCAGGCTCAGGCTCAGTGAGTAAATGTCAGCACGCGCTCTTGCTCAGTGATCTGATCAGTGCAGTCATGTGATCGCTCAGTGACCAATCAGCGGTGCTCAGTGATCGCTTGGTGGTGGATCAGTGATCATCGATGGGTGCTCAGTGATGGCTCAGTGATCACTCAGCCACTGCTTACTCACCAGGACTCATTAACTATCCAATCAGCAAGCGGTAACTCTTTTCCTACAGCCTAAGTCAGACTATACCTAAAAAGGACATGCCCCACAGGGTCATCTATCCTGTAATACCTAGCGCGTAATAGTTAGTACTTCTGAGGCCCTCCTATTCTAGAGGCCTCTATCTAATCAAAACTGGCCCAAACGGCGAAGGTGAGGTGGCCCGTCCTGTTCAAGATTATGTAGTTTAAAGAGGCCTTTGCACTGTTATACGTCCTGTGACCCAAAATATTAAAGGAGACTTTGTCCCCTCCACGGCCCTATTAAAAGCAACATACATTTCATTACTTGTATCACAATCAACTACTCCTCTGAGTCTGCCTCTTCCCCTTTGAGCTCACGATCAATATCCCGTTATGGGTGGAAAAGCTTTTTTCTCCAAGCGTGATGAGAAGGCTAAAAAAAGGCGTCGTCTCTTATAGTAGAGGAACGGCTATATCCCTGGAGCCTACAAGAAGGAAGACGCTATTCGAAACAAAGATAGAAAACTTCCAAGGACCAAAAAATTACACTAACAAA